TACGCTGTTTGTGGAAATTTAATAAAACTTTTGTTACAAAAGGTCCTAGTAAAAGTTAAATGCAAATTTTAACTTTTCATGTAATGGTATGCTTGACCCCTATGCCTCTTGTAAGCCTCTTTATTGGTCAGTGGTCACCCATCTGAAAGTGCGCTGGGATGGCTAAGGATACTGAGCAACATTTAGAAAAATTTTAAATGTGTTCATACCTTTATCCATTTATATTTTTGGATCTGCTAATAATTTGACATTCCCTCTAAATGCAACTTCTGCACCTGTATTTTTTCATTATATTCTCAGTCTGAATTTCTTAGGTTTGTGACTGGTTTAATTTAGTTTCTCAGACTGTTTCAGAAAACTGTGACATGTAATATTAAGATTTAACTGTCACCAGGATTATATAAAACAGCCAAAAGTTGCTGTTTTGAGAATGCTGCAATTCAGTAAACGTCAGTAACACAAGTCATTTGCATTCAAATGTTTAGACAAAGATTTATGACTAAGCCAGGAATAAATTAATGAAATCTCTGAATTCCAGTCTAACAGACTATAGTAAATAGAAAAAAAATATCTCAATTCCACTAATCCATAAGAATGTTTTGTTGTTAAAAACATTCTAATAGTTTTAGTTGCTGATGTTGCTACTTGTATACACAGGATCCACAATGTGTAGTATTTTAATAAACATGGTGGAGATATTATAGCAGATATAGAAAATGTACGAATGGATTCAAATGAATCATAATAGATAGAAGATACAACCTTACCTTGGAATCCAACTATAACTGCAACATTTGAAGTATAAATCTAGACAGCATAGTGAGCACATTGAAAGCATCAGTCTACCCAAAATGTATATTTTCATTTTTCATAGCTGCTGAAAGGTTAAACTACATGACAGTTTCTCATCCTTCTTTCTCTTGGGGACTTTATTGATGAGTTTTGTGCGCTTGAGTCCCTAAATCTGCACATCTATTGTTGCAATTTATGAAGGGTCCCATTCTTGCTGGTGGATTTCTTATTTAGTTTAAATTATGAAAAATGTAACATGAGGTGCTGAGACATACAAAGGTGGATAGGACACCTATAATCCCAGTGTGGACAGGACTTGTAACTAAATTATTACTTTTTAAACTGACCTTTTGATTGTATTCTGCCTGATCACACTATCTGATTACCAAACACTGCTGCAAAGGACTACAATGTGACCAATAATGCAAGCAATATGCTTGGTGGGGCAGCATGAAAAAGTTTGCTTAGTTAGAGATACTAGAAGTTTTCACCAGCTTATAGTTGTCTGAGATGTTAATAATACTGCTCATTCACAAAATAATACCAGTGCCTAAAATGTAATAGCACCCCTGCTGCACAGGATATATTAGACCATTTGCATTAGAGTTAGCTAAACTGCTTAGAAGGAACAATAGTTGTTTTAGAGTTGAGTGATTCTCTAGCCAGTACCTCTTACACTATGGGGCTGATTTATAAAGTGAGCAAATGCCTTTTGCAAGGCATTACTGTCACAAGATGGAGCCGAGGAGCATAGGGATTTCCTTCTCGGCTCCCTCTCGTGGCAGTAATGCCATGCAAATGTGGTTTGTCCAGCTATACACTAGGCAAATACTTTATAAATCAGCCCCTAAATATTAATGAGCCCTTGCTTGGCTAAGGTGTCTCATTTTCTCAATTTAATCATAACCAAGGCAGGCCCGCCGCTACCGCAAGGCAAGTCAGGCGGCCGCCTGAGGGCGCTGCTGGGTGAGGGCGGAAAAAACAGGGCATTTTGACAAGTACTTGTACTTTTCAAAATGCCCCGATGTTTGCGCTATGTTTGCGCTATGACACGCGCGGCACCTCAGGCAGTCGCCGGCCAGCAAAATTAGGACCCCACCTGGAGCTCCTCCCACCGGACCAGCGCTGACTCACCGCTGCTCTCCCGCGCCGAAGGTACGTGGAAAAAAAAACATAGTGCAAACATCGGGGCATTTTGAAAAGTACAAGTACTTGTCAAAATGCCCTGTTTTTACAGGGGGTCGGGGTCGGGGGGGGCGCAAAAATGCACCTTGCCTACCTTGCCTAGAATCCTAGCACCGGCCCTGAACCAAGGTCTTGACAAGCTAAACAACTCATTCAATTATTTCATTATTGTAGCATTCCGTAAAACTTGGATTTGTGTATAAAACTAGGAAAACTGTAAAATTAGAAAAGAAAAGCATGTGTTCTGATTGCCAGCCAGTTGCTGTTGACACTACTTTGCCAATTACTTTTTTTATACATGAGAACCATTCTATGCAAGTCTGCCAATGTACAGAGTACTACTTATTTGCTTTTGTTTGGAGAAACCCCAAAGTAACTTCTTATTCATTCACTTCAATGTAGGCACCTCCGTCGATAATCAGCCATGTAAAATGGATTGCAGGAATGGATTTGACGGTGGAGCAAACCTGGACTTTTAAAAAAAAAAATATTTATCATTGCCTAACCTCATGCTGATAACACAATTATCATCCAGCACTTTAGTGTACATAACAGGTTTTGGAAAACAGAACCTAGTATTTAAGAGGATTCTAAACAGCTATGCTGAGAAACAGTATGCACTATCTGTGTTAGGTAAGGTAGGGCTGGATTTTTTCTAGCCAACATAATTAGTCGTCTAAAGAAGCAGGGCTGCCGGGCCACCCACATATGATGATGCAATTACAAACAACATTCCTGAAAAAAAATCAAGGGGATAGCACTGAACTTAATTATCACAAAACCAGCTAGGTCTTATATAGCGATGAGCCTGGGCTTGGTGCAAACCCAATTTGCCTGAGTTCACCCAAACCCACTCAGAACTGTGACTGCCACCCCTTCCTCCTTGCCCAATCAGTGGGGCAGTTGCAGCAGGGGCAACAAATATAGGGGAATCTATAATGATTTTCTATAGACATTGAAGAACAATGGCAGTCTGTTATACATGTATATACACAGTATATAATTGATACAACTTCTCATTATGGCTACAGATTATGTGAGTCCTAGTTGGTTTTAAAAAATAACTCCACTTTTTTTTTAGAAAAGCACAATCTCCTCCTGTACATTGCAAAGATTTTATCACACTTTGTTGCAGATTCCTACCTGTTGTTGTTCTGAAGGAATAGCAGTTTGCTGCTCCATGTCCTTTACAAACTGATTCCTGATTAAGAGGGTCTGGGTTCCTTATAATCAGTTAGTGGACTTTCTGTGTTGTAATAAGGAATGTTGCAGTGTCTGTGCCCCTTTAGTAGTAATTAACCCATAGGGAGTATCTCACCAAAAAAATAAATTCCTATTGCAGGAGATGCATACAATTTTATTGTATCGTAGTGCAGTAGTCTGTGAAAATCCGGAAGCAGGAAGTGACATTTCTGGGGATGTTCTGTACACCACACACCACATATTATGCTGGCTGTCAGTAACACATTTCCATGTATAATAATAGGTGCATCTTCATAATTGTGTCCTTACCGTTCACCCACTTTAAGGGCCAAACACCTACAACTGAACTTCTAGCAGAATAGGCAATACCCTTCCCTACTCTTCTTGTCTCCATATCTACGTATACTAAAAAGTCGAAAGCTGTTTTTCAATCTCTCCACCCCCATTTCTGCGATTTGGCAAAATACATTGGGTCAGAGGGGTGGGGGGTCAAATAACTAATAGAGCAGCAACTGAAAGAGTCCTCTTAGCTCTGAGCTTTAATAGTCATTCCTAGAGAAAATAGGTAATAAAACTAAATAAAGCAGAACATATGTACTCAATGAATAGGCTTGCACAGTTCTACTAACTTAAAGCAGACCATCATTCAAAATAACAAGAATCTCCCATTGCATACCTCCCCCTCCATAGTCCTAGATATCTGCCCCCCTTTTGTTCAGTCCAGCCAGCCACCCCACCTCCCCCCTGCTATTGAAGCCTCCTGGGTTATGCACATTGAATATCCCAGGAGGCTTCCACTTCTACCAATTTTGGAAGAGGATGAACCCCGTGCTGGACAAGGACAGAGCTGGCATGTGTCACCAGGGTCTGGTTGCCTGAACCCGGAAAAGTCAGCCGGTCCTCAATGATGTTGGAGAAGAACATGGCAGCGCAGGAGCCAGTGTATGGCAGAACAGAGAAATGCTGTATTAACTGGGAGGGTGAGTATGTGAATTCAGGAAAAAGGTAAGAACATACTTATGCACAAATTTACACAGGGGGACACTGAGGGCTACTTTCCTCTTTCAGAATAAATACACAAATGATTGCAGTAATTAATTTGCTTTCGGATTGGTGAAATTTGTTTTTCTTTCCTTACAGGCAAGCAGTCCAACAACAGGCACAGCGCCAAGAAGCCACTCACAAACATCTGTGTGTCCATCAGCTCAGGATATATGTAGGTGCGTACAGTTTGTATCTGTGACTTTATTAATCTATAAAAACAAATCACCTGGTAATTGTAAGGTATAAGAATTCTTTTTTTTTTTTTCCAAGTTTTCTTCAGTTGTTTTTATACATTTGATTTCTCATCACATTTTCATGCACTTTCTTTTGTTGCTATTGTTTTACTGTTTTTCATCTGTTCATCTTTTTTTTCCTTCATCACTTTTTTCTTTCCCATTTTGTTTTGTCCACTGCTTTGCATTTTAGAACTGCCTTGCTTGATGTTTCTGAAGATGACTTAATCCATACTACCCCTGTCGTGCCATTTGCACCTCCTGGTAGGGAGAATGGCAAAAAACAAGTCAAACGAAGACTAAGACGTAAACGTGTAAGCTGTGCTACCAGTACCCAAACAGGAAAGCAGAGAACAATAAATCCTCATGGTGAGGCACAAAGAGGAGATGTGTCTGATACAGAATCCTCATCAGATGAAAGATACTGTGCCACAAGACCTAAAAGACATGAAAAAGCAAAAACATATACGAGAGGAAGGAAACAAGAGAGACCTCATCACAACAATGAAGGTTTCTCAGAGTCTAATGCAATTGAAATGGTTTCTCTACAATCCAAAGACTCAAATTCTCAGAAAGGTCAACAACAACAAAATGGCAATGCATGCACCTCTTTTTCCAGTCACAGAAGGAGAAACATATCAAAGTGCAAAGAATCTAGCATCTCTTCATCATCTGCATCATCCACTGAGACAAAACGTTATCATACCAGGAGAGTAAAAAGAAAAGTGCAGCCGTGTTGCACAGGTTCACGGAAGTGCAAGTGTCACTGTAGAGAAGAAAAAATTATCAAGAAGGATGTAAGGGAGGAGGGGGCTGGTGCAGAGACTCTAGCACCAGTACCCGCAGCCCCATTTGAGAGTACTGCTTCCCCAATTAATGATGATGATGATGATGATTGGGGTGATGATTTAGATGTCTGCAGGTCAGTTTTCTACTGAAGTATTTTTATTATAGTAAATTATAATTCTTGCATTGTTGCAAGCGAGTGAAAAAGGTTGCTTCAACTGATGCATTGATGATGATTAATTACAAAAGAGGTTTATTTAAAGTAAACCTGAAGTGAGTACTTGCAGTATAAACTAAGACTACATTTAAATAACAAGCAGCATAAGGAGCCACATCATACTGGTACTGTAACAAACTGGCTGATCTGTATGCTGCCCATTCATCCTAGTTTAAGAACTGGGTCCTACCCTATATATCAGGAACACTGGCAACAGGGTGTGTATATTTGCACCTGCAAACAGGATTTGCAGGCTTCATTCATGACGCTATGGTAGCAATATTACATTGTTACATTACATTCTGATTAGTGCATTTATGTGCTTTATTTTTCAATAAACATAGTTTCTGTTTGAATCCCTTTTTAACCTTTAGTGATCATTAAAGTATGTCTCTAGACAAAATGTTCTTTTATTAGCTTTGGGTAGAGTAGATAATAATTAGAACACCTGTATGTAAGTTGTTTTTCTTTTTTTGCTGTCCATGTCCTGTTGTGAAGATTTCCCCTTCACTTCTTGCCCTGGAGCCAGTAAGTAAGTAAAAATCTCTTCAAAATTAGGAGAATTCTATTAGCTGTCAACAAAGGAGAAGAGCTCAGTAGAAAAATCTCCTCACCACCCGTTCCAGTGACAGCTGTAACATTTTGGAAATTAAATCACTTTCCCTGTTAGTGACCATGGTCACCCGGACAAATAGAGAGGTAAATCTCCCCGGACACAGATAGCAACAAAGCCTGATGGAGGTTCTAACCCTTTTCTGTTCTTTCCAAAACTAAAAGTTTAAAGTTTTGACTATACATCAACTTTAATCAACCCTGATCAACTCTGCCCTCTCCCCCCTTAGATTTTTGTTGTTTGCTTTTTTAATTTTCTTACCATTCATTTTTTTTTACATTTTAATACTGATTTAATGTCTTTATAAACATAATAAAACAAATTAGAGTATACACTTTGCACTTTTGCTCTATAGTAACATTACTTCTTTTAAAACTAACAGTGGCCAACTAGAAAAAACACAATATTTTCATTTCCTGTGTTTTTAAACAAATAAATAAATAAAATAGTTGCTACACAATGCTATAAAATACAACTGTATTACTTTGGTATTGTAAGTAGTGACAACGTTTTTGCAGAATCAGTACGCCTAAAGATGAAATGTAGAAATTGCTCTGGTTCAGAAGAGGTATATATGTGTTTAAATGACATTCATATTACATATTATCCACTTTGATTAAAAGATAACTGAAGTTACAAGTTTCTGCCACCCAAATGTGGACCCTTAGGCACAAGTACCTATTTATGTATGCACCAAAAATGGTCCCTCTCTCTTAAGTCAATGCCATGGCCCGTCCATGGCCTAGTAGTGCTTGGAGCCGACATCTTTGGCTACTTTGCATATATAAGAGTTGCACAATAGAAATTAATGGACTTCTAACTGAAGTGGATTCATTACTGTTGCAACTTCACTGCTCTCCTAAGCCAACTGTCTTGTGCCACCACCAACTTACTGCAGTCAACTGGCTATGTTAATATCACAATCAGACATCATAGCCACAAAAGGCATGTCAAGGCTGAGGGTGGGAGACTGAAAGAGTTTTTTGTTATTCTTTGTCAGTGCACCTAGAACTATACTGCTTGCACTATGGGTTTAAGTGTATTGAATTAGAGTAGTTGGTCTGCAAGCACACAGAATACTATTCCACCGACAAAAATGTATAAATTGTGCAAGGAAAGCAATAAAGGGGAACTGGTGACATTCCACTGCCAAGCAGCACAGCTGCCTGGAACCTCTTATTATACAGAGGAACGTGTTACTGATTGTCAGTAACATGAGTAGGTGACTACTCGCTGTTTATGGTTGCCCTACAGCCTACACTGGATATGCAAAAATCCAGCATTGGGAGCCAGGAAAATGGGCCATTTTCAGTAAGTACATATAAAGGCCCTTATTATCTCATCTATCAAGTAGGAAAGAAGTGACAGGATTATGAACTAAATCAGGCACAAAGTAACAATAATAATCAGCAGAATTGCAAACCTAGGCAGCTCAGTTGACAGAGTCTTCATTCTTCACAATCGATCCAAGTAATGACCAGGGTTGCTAAAATATGTAATTTTGAGCCCAGGGGTAGGGGCGGACTGACTACACACAGGGCCCCTGGGCAATATGAGTTTATGGGGCCCCTTTGTGCTCTACCCATATATAAGCTCCACCCACATGTACATTCTTGTGTTACAGGAATTTCTTTTTTTATACTATTTTTAAAATAACAGGTCTATTCACTAAAAAGTGAATTGCAGGGGAATTGGTAGGAGAATCTCAAATCAGACTAATATACAGTAGGCAATTTGGAAAGTGAGCTAAACGGCAGAATAATGGGCCATTTTCAGTAAGTACATATAAAGGCCCTTATTATCTCATCTATCAAGTAGGAAAGAAGTGACAGGATTATGAACTAAATCAGGCACAAAGTAACAATAATAATCAGCAGAATTGCAAACCTAGGCAGCTCAGTTGACAGAGTCTTCATTCTTCACAATCGATCCAAGTAATGACCAGGGTTGCTAAAATATGTAATTTTGAGCCCAGGGGTAGGGGCGGACTGACTACACACAGGGCCCCTGGGCAATATGAGTTTATGGGGCCCCTTTGTGCTCTACCCATATATAAGCTCCACCCACATGTACATTCTTGTGTTACAGGAATTTCTTTTTTTATACTATTTTTAAAATAACAGGTCTATTCACTAAAAAGTGAATTGCAGGGGAATTGGTAGGAGAATCTCAAATCAGACTAATATACAGTAGGCAATTTGGAAAGTGAGCTAAACGGCAGAATTTTTCTGGTTTGGCTATTTTGACCTATTGTGCCAATTATCTTGATTAGCAAGATAATTAGTAGGAGAATGGACAGGAGAACTTAATATTCTAGGACCGGAGTGGGGGTTTGTGTACATATTGCATGTGTGATATGCAAACCCCCACCCCCCTGCTCCAGTGCGCCCATGACCAGAACCACTGCTCATAAACCTCAGACCAGTACAAATGCACGCAAGAGCTCAGACCAGCACCAATGCAGGACAGACATCAGACCAGAGCCAATGCAGGACAGACATCAGACCAGAGCCAATGCAGGACAGACATCAGACCAGAGCCAATGCAGGACAGACATCAGATAAAGAGCCAATGCAGGACAGACATCAGACCAGAGCCATTGTATGACAGTCCCAAGAACAGAATCAATGTAAGTAGTAGGAAATGTACAGAGTGGCAAATATGCAGCATTAAATAGCGCAGAGTTCAATAATAAGGAAAGCAAAGCTAAGCAGCAAGTAACGCACAGAATGCAGAGGTCAGAAGGTAGTAACATGCAGAACGCAGAAGTCAGAAGGTAGAAACACACAGAACGCAGAGTCAGAAGGTAGTAACACACAGGACGCAGAGGTCAGAAGGTAGTAACGCACAGAACGCAGAGGTCAGAAGGTAGTAACACACAGAACGCAGAGGCCAGAAGGTAGTATTGCAGAGAACGCAGAGGTCAGAAGGTAGTAATTTACAGAACACAGAGGTCAGAGGGTAGTAACGCACAGAACACTGAGGTCAGAAGGTAGTAACACACAGAACGCAGAGGTCACAAGGTTGTAACGCACAGAACACTGAGGTCAGAAGTTTGTAGCACACAGAACACAGAGGTCAGAAGGTAGTAACGCACAGAACACAGAGGTCAGAAGGTAGTAACGCACAGAACGCAGAGGTCAGAAGTTTGTAGCGCACAGAACAAAGAGATCAGAAAGAAGTCAAAGGAAATCAAGCCATGATTTATGTGAATCAGTAGTTATTACAAAAAGGCCAAAATCTCTTTCCTACTGTCTCTGCCTGCACTGTTCACAATAGTTTGGCAATCCGCTAACAGATTGCATCTGATGCTGTCCGGAAAGTAAATGTTCAACCAATTTAGCCTTATTCACATGTGATGTGTGCTTAATATCAATGTGACAAGATGCAAAAGAAGCATAATTTGTAGGTTTTTGCTCACCTTTTCTCCTTCTTTGGAAAAAAATGTAAAAAGCTGGAGAATCGTGGATGCTGCTCTAGAGCTGTGGAATGTCCCCTGGCAGGCCCCCCCTGGTATTCACACACGTGCTCCCTCTGCCAAAGCCGTGAGCAGCAGTGAAAGGTAGCTGTGTGCTAAGCTCCTCTCACTGACAGGCAGCTCTGCCTGCACGCTGCATTCCTCAGTGAGCTGTCAGGCCAGGACTTAACACGAAGGACGAGTGGAAGGCCCCATTCACACTTGGTGATTCGCAAATCGCGCGTTTGTTGCGCGATTTGCATTTTGCGCAATATCGCACGATTTGTCGTGCAATATTGCGCAAATGCTTGCATTGAGCAAGCTTGAATCGCGGCTAAATCCGCTCCAAAAAGGGTCCTGCTGTAGCGACGCACGACCCGCGACAGCAGGACCCTTTGCCCCATTGAGAAGCATTGAAGAGCGATATCGCGCGGTAAATTGCCGCGATATCGCGGGAATTACCGCACGATAAATCGCTAAGTGTGAACGGGGCCGAAGACAACATTGCAGGACAGTCAGTAACCCAAAGAGGGTGACAACTGCCACAGGCCCCGTCATGGCCGCGGGCCCTCGGGCTGAGCCTGAGTGCCCGAATGGTCAGTCAGACTGATAAAAACTCTTACTGATAAAGAGGATAGACACATTTACAATTTATTGTACCGCATGTTTTTAAAACAAAATAAAACAATAGCTGTGGTGTTTTCATTCTTCTTTGTGCAAAATCTAACATATTTTTTGCATATTTTTAGAATCTGTCATTGTGAAGGAGATGAAGAAAACTCACTAATTACCCCGTGCCGCTGTACTGGAACATTGAGGTTTGTTCATCAAGCCTGTCTACATCAATGGATTAAGAGCTCAGACACCCGTTGTTGTGAACTCTGCAAGTATGACTTTGTAATGGAAACTAAACTGAAACCTTTAAGAAAGGTAAGGCAAACACCGAGGCTGCCTGTGTATACCAATCAATATGTAATTATTAAACATGGATTCAGTCTTGAAAACAAATGCAATCCTTTAAAAGATGTTTTTTTTGAGAAAATGCTGTCGGTGGCTGCAAATGACCTTGCAGAATAAGAAATATATCCTTTCTACAGAATAAATACAAATGATGAATTCATTAATAAGTTGGATTGCTTTGAAATGCTGTGAACTGACATTATTAAATGTAATCATTAAACTGGCCTAGCAATGGCAAAGTAGCTAAAAATATTCCAGTACCTGACACATCAGAGGGCCTAGACCCTCTATATACCTGTATTTATCAGGAGGGTCATTTTTGCCTTAATTGCCAGGTTTAGATTTCCCTTATCCCAGGATTTACTGGAATAAAATCTACCAAGTGTTTGGCTGACAGTGAAGCCTCAGTTTCCCTTCTCTTCTCATACTTAGTTGGTGATCACTACACAGTACTATGCACATCAGGCTTCTGCTTGGCCATAGTACACTCATAATCAGGTAAAGGAAGTAAAGACTAGCTTCCATATAGAAAAACAGATATTACCCCCCTTAACGTGATACAATTAATTATTGTAGCGTGCACATGGCTAAGAGGGAAGGCAAATTGAAGGCAAACTATAGGTTTTTAAAAAACATTTATGAGGTTTTAAACTATTTTTTTATATGTGATTTTACAAATAAACATTTAATACATGACAAAGGATTCCCAGAGCTAAATGGGTGTAATATACTCCCCTTGCCGGGTTCTCCAGTGTTCCGGGATGTAACCTCCCACGAAATCATTTAGCTCCTCCTCAGTAGCCGGCTTAAGCTGCGGACTTTCAGTTGCTCTGCGTCCAAGCAATACAGCTGATGCCGGGCAATAAGCTCCGATTCCCTGTATGCTGTGTGTTGCCACAGGATGCTGGGACCTGTGGTACTCCTCCTCACGCTGCTACAGTGACCTTCTCTGGATCTCCAGTGAACCCAGTTGGAAACAGTTCATATACTTCTCCTACAGATTCAGTGTCTCTTGATGAGCTACTATATACTGTAGATTGCTGTTGAAAAAGCTGCTTAAAGGGAAGCAACCTAAAAGCAAGTACTCACCATTTTATGTTATCCAAAGACTTCCTTATATTGCTTCAAAACTACTTGTGTTTAAAAGAATTCATAACAGCACTATTGGTATTGACAAACTATTATTTTCATAAGCTGAATGCAATTTGAAGTTAGGCATTAACTAACAAGGGGCAGTTAACCCTATTTGAGGTGTGAACACTGCAATATAACTCATATAACTCACTACTCATATAAAGTTTGTTCTGGTGAAATCATCCCCTTTGTGTTATAGATTTGATTACTAAACTTGATCATTGTGGCTGTATATTGAGTTTACCTGATATTGGACTGCTACTACATCTCCTAATCATCGTAAGTTACGTTTGCAGCTGTGATCCTAGTGAATTAGATAAACTACTTACCTGTTGTGCTACAATGGGCTTCAATAGACAATAGAGCAGTAGTAGCTGCCTTGTGGCTGGCTTTGTCTAACTGGAACTATGGACTGAGCCATCTGACAAGGGTTGAGTCACTATAATGAGTCATTCAGCTCTAGGAGAAAAATGCAGGCTGAGCTAGGGAGCTTTGTAAACAACAGACTTTATACTGAAGAGATGGAAGACATGTGAAAAGAGATAGAAATTCCATTCTGCTAGCTAACAAAATATTTAAAGTGGACTTTTACCCCTTTGACTAAAAATCAAATCAACATACAGCTCTGCATGCTGATATGAAATCATCTTATATACATTAGCTAAATAAACATATTTTTATTTTAGTTATAATTCATTTTTTTCTACTTCCTGGTCCAGTTTGGTACAAACTATGTAATCATGCCTTAGCATTGCATCCTGGAAAGGTTAGCAAAGCATTGGTGGGAAATCTCATCTGTAATTTCATGAGGTCTCACGGAAAAGCATTTTCCTCCCCTGAGATGATGTGCATGGTCACATGTGCCAGGGTTCCAGGAAGTAAAGGGAGATCTAGTAACCCGACCTTAGTTAAAATGGCCAGAAGACTGGGGAAGAAAAGAAAAAAAAAGGTATGCAAAAAATAAAAAGCCGGCAATTATCTAGAAGTATCTGTTTGTAGATTGTCATTACTAAACATTTCTAAAGGTGTCTTTGATGTTATTTTGAAGATGTGGGTAAAGGTCCGCTTTAAAAATAATATGCAATATTTAATTGTAATCCAGCAAAAAAATAAAATGTGTGCCAAACCACTATACATTCTCTGTAACACATTAACTAGGAAACAGGAGGGACATCAATCCTACTGATAACTGGCACATGTGTGGTCTTCTACTGTTTTTCTTGTTAAATAAGATAGAGTATTTGGGAGCCATATTTAATGCAATTATGAGGGCAGCATCAGAATGCAATATAACTCTCATAGAACGTTTGTATTGACTCAGCTCTGCAATATATTTGCTTTTGCATTTTATAAAACAAGGAATGACAGATCACAACATTTTAAAATGTTATGGGAAGCACATCAGGTAGTAGGAGTTACAGAATACAAAATAAAACTGAACAGTTTTAAAATTAATACATCTGACTTTATAGATTTGATGTGTAAATGTTCAATTTGAAATTTGTTTCAGTTTAGCTTTCTGCTTTTATAATTGTAATCTGCATTTAACAAGAATTGTTCTGCTTTTCAAAGACAAGATCTTTCACTTTTGTTAGGGATTATTTGTTCGATGTTATATCACAAGTCTGTAAACAGATGTCATCAGCGCTGTCACATTCATGAAGTATTGATGTATTCTGAATAATAAATGATCTTATGCATCAGCATTCAATCACACCTGACAAACACAACAAAGCCTGTCATTATATGCTAGTAGAAATCAAGTAAAGTAAATAAAGTTTACAGAATTATTTGTATAATAGCTACAATAATAGCTACAATGTAGAAATGTTATCCTCCTCCTAAAGTGATAAAGACATTTTATTAACAGAATTGGTTTATGTATTAAAGAAAACTACCATATATGTTCAGATAGTAGTAATTTAAATTGTTAGCGGTATAATGTTAATTTATTAGATGATCAATGCACCTGTAAACCAATTTGGGGGATTAAACAGGTAAGAATGTAGTATATAATATTGAGCATAAGAAAACACAAATGGAAGTAGAAATTCCAGTTTAAGAACTAACTGATCTGTGGACTCCTAAGCCCTTGGTAACCACTATGGGGCATCTTCTCCTCATCGTTACTTGCCCCTAGCTTGCATTTGAGATATGGGATGATGAGGTCTGGTAAAAGCATGGTATATCTCACTTTGAGCCAGAACATGCCACACCTCACCATATCCAGAGTACATGCTAGAGCGGGGAAGGCAGTGAGTCAAAATTAGTTGGAACAAATATGTAGCAAAGCATAAACTGAGAGCAGCTAACCTCATCCTTCTTACAAGATGCATCAACATACAAGAGCCTCCGACTTGTTAAAAACATCCAGTGTGTGCCTGCAAAAAAACCCAAAACAGAAGCCACTTAAAAAAATGAATAACTAGCCGAGGGAAGATGCACATTGGTGGAGCAATTCATGATAAATGAACGACACCAAAATCCCCCAGCATCTCATTCATCAAGCCAGCACAGAGGACCTATGAACCTTTTAGTTTAAAAACAAAAGGACTTTGTTTCAGTCATTTGCAATTATACATCAAGCCATACCACCACATCAATGCACCTTTGAAAAGTGCAGTCCTGCTCTAATCAATACAAAGTGTGATATATACTTAGCAATGAATAACCAGGGATTCACAAAGTGTTGGAAGTTTATTGTACAGCTTTGTGTATGAGTAGTGTTGTAACATTTTTTCAAAAGGTTGTTTTTTCTGAATTTACGCTGGGGTCATGTTTTTTTGGCCAGCGTAGATACAAATAGTGCCTAATGGAGGTTTTCTTCAATTTTCCGATTAAAATTGTTATTTTTTCAATAACCGGTTTATAAAACATATGATTCAAAAAAGGTTATTTTAACAACAGCTTTGGGTACACATGCAGTCCTTGACATGAGAGTATGGCAGATGTAGCTACTGTAAGACAGTTGCCAAGACAACAAGGCTCAGTGTTACAGTATGTTCCCTATTATCTTTAATAGAGAAAAGAGTTGAATTTGCATTGTGCTGCTGTGGTTTCTTTAACATAAATTTGACTAACTAGTTAGATGTAACATTCTGCACTCTGTCTTTAGACTCAATTTTCAGACCACATTTATTACATGTTTCTCGCTACTTGAAACCTACTAAATAAATACAAACTGTTGTGCTATTTGTGTACACTGTATGCTTTTTGGCTCTTCTTGGTTGATATTAAAGGGACACTAAACTCAGGAGTTAAATCTTAAAAATGTATTCAAGTACCCTAACTATTAACACAAATGTATCTTATTTGTTTATCACACTAAACTCAGGAGTTAAATCATATAAGGCATTCAATTACCTTAACTTTTAACAAAAATTTACTTTATTAGTGTATTACTCGGCTGTAGATCCTCGAATCATCTCAGAATTTATACTCACACTGTCCTTCCTTCTGGAGGGTGGCTACTTTTGTTCCGCATGGTCCCTGTGTGTGTTTTAAACCACTCCAAGCTTGCTCCCGTTATGGACTACAATCTCATGTTTAGTTTACTAATTTGATTTGAGATTGTAGTCCATCACAGTAGCATGCTTGGAGCGGTGGCTACTTTACCAGACCGCTTGTATGTAAACAGCCATCGCTGGCTGTTTCAAATTCTGGCGGTCTCCTGCTCGTGTGCTGGCATGAAGGATGTTTAAAGACACCCACCCGCATCCAGAAGGCTCCCGTCCGGCCATTTCTGAATGTTCAGCGTACGGGAGGTGGTTAAAGTGAATGTCCAGTCAAAACTTTTTTTTTCTTTTTAATTTTGGATAGCAGTTTTTATTGCTATC